AAAAGGAAGAATCATGTGTCAGTCTTCACTAGGAAAAATGAACTGATAAAGTGTATAGCAATAGAAAAAACACCTAAATGGGAAATTATCTGAGGTCTTTGTTTCACATTAGGCAGATTCCATGTGTTCTTTTACCCTTGACCAAGAATCTGATCACTTAAGGTCATGATAAAAAAAACATTCTCAGAAATCCACTTTTTGGTAAATTTTTAATAGCACCTCATTCTGTTTACGTGACAAAATGAACAGCTACATCCTGCAGAACTGAAGCAATTATCTTCTTCACACACAGTGGGTATTAAGGCAAGTGGAAAACTGAGTCATTCATGTTTTTCATGCATAATTCTTACAATACACGCTTTCCCTCAGAGGTAACAAACCCATCTTGAGGGTTTCACTAGTCTAGTTTTGATTTTACTTTGTAGGACGATAGCCTGGAGAAAGGAAAGTGAACTTGAATCAAATAAATGACAAACAAATTGCTCCTGACTTTCCTGCAACAGACGTTTCCTAAATTGACCTTCTTGTGTTACTGTTGTCCATGTTAACAAGGTATTATCCTCATAACATATTCCAGGCCACAGACAAGGTAAAAAACACATCAGAAAAACAAATATCCTACCTGTGTATTTGAATGCTGCATTATTCACCTGTTTCTTTTCTATTTCAGCTCTCCTGTTATTCCTTCCTTCCAAACCTATTGCAGCATGACTGCTGGGTAAAGTCACAAGAGTTTTCAAGACAGAGTGTTTCTTAGACACCTGAGATTTACTGGATAAACAATTTTAACTGAAAGAATTCATTAAAAAAAAAACATGTACAAAGATATTTGTCAAGTACTTTTCAGAATAACACTGATTGTAAAATAGCGGTACTCTAAAAGCAGATTTGACACACTAACTGGGACAATGCAAATACTGACATCTGAACCAGTCACCTGCTTTTCTTTTGTCAGTGAAGATAAAGAGACATTTCCACAGCACTATTCATCTTATCCTAAAAGAGGTGTCTAAAAAAAGTCAGATTGATCACTCCCTGTATAAAGAATGCCTGTTTACTACTGCAGGTCATGTCCAGCCTTAGATTTATTGACTAGTTACACAGGATCGTACCCCATAGGAAATTAATATCTGATTTCACAGAACCATACAGGCTTTCACCACTGCTAATAGCGGCAGCATGCAGGACTTTCTGTTCTAGAAACTGAAGAAGGAAAGACTTCACACTGTCTTAGAACCTGAATTCCATAGACATGTGCATGCATTATTCAAAAGCTCTGGTATTCTGCTGTTGAAAAGCTCTGGTATTCTACTTAGCAGAAAACAGAACTGCACTTTCTGACCAACATCATAGGAACATATCCTGAACACTAAGCAGCATGTTTCACTTAGTCTCTAAATATTTCAATTATTAATCAAGAGGTCAACTGTGTTTAGATCCCTACATCTTCTGGGAAGTTCTTCTTGGACACGCAACCTGCAAAACCTTCCCCAATTTCCCCTAGCATTGCTTGAAGCAGGAGTCAGCACTCTAAAAGCTCATTCAACCTTTCCTCAGCTCCCTCTGTTGCCGATGGAGAGAAACAGCCTCCCCTAGACTCAGCTCTCCAGAGTGCTGGAAGTTTGGTCTGTTTTCTGAATGGCCCTCAGGCAAATGAGTTGAATGTGAGTGTCCCTTGGTTGCTGTGCCTCTGTCAGTACATGAAGCCTTAGGCATTGGAGGAGAAACAACAAGACGAGCTCCTCCTTCAGTGAGCATACACTACAGCAAATCCAGGCCTGCAGACTGATCCAAGTTCCCCAGTGACAGCTAGGTCTGCAGGAGCTGCACACAAGGCAAGAGAGAAGCAGAAGGAAGTGAAGGAGAGAAGCCCGTACAAGCTCCCTGCTCTCCTGTCAGTTATTGATAACTACTCCAGCTGTGAAACTGCTGCAACAGACCCTGTGCACTCTTATAGTCCAGTGAAACTTAAACCCATTTCAACACATGCCCCATCACAGAGGGAAAAAAAGGCTGGTCTGCCGCAGGCATTGCTTGACTATGGATGAGACTTTTTTTTCTCTCCTTCTTTTCACTGTCCTCTATATCAGGTCCCTGTGAGTTCTGCTGCCCTAGGTTGTCTCTGTGACCTGCTGCCATAGGCTGTCTGCACACTGGTGAGGGGAACCTTGGGCTGAGCTTTTCTCTCACAATAGCAGCATGCTCCTGTCAAGAGAATCACAGAATCACAGAATCAACTAGGTTGGAAAAGACCTCTGAGATCATTCAGTCCAAGTAATAACTGAACATCACCATGTCAACTCCACCATGTCATTAAGTGCCACATCCAGTCTTTCTTTAAACACCTTCAGGGTCAGTGACTCTACCTCCTCCTTGGGCAGGCCGTTCCAATCTTTAATCACTCTTTCTGTGAAGAAATTCCTCCTAAGGTCCTACTTTTACCCTCCCCTGGTGCAGCCTAAGACTGTGTCCTCCCATCCTGTCACTAGCTGCCTGAAAGAAGAGACCGACATCCACCTGGCTACAACGTCCATGCAGGTAGTTGTACACAGTGATGAGGTCTCCCCTGAGGCTTCTCTTCTCCAAGCTAAACAACCCCAGCTCCCTCAGCAGCTCTTTGCAGAACTTGTGCTCCAGAACTTCCACCAGCTTTGTTGCCCTTCTCTGCACTCACTCCAGCACCTCAATGTAAAAAAAAAAAAACAAAAAAAAAATGAAAAATACTTTGACAGGATGTTGACCTGTAGCTCTGCCTGCAGACTGCTGCAGCTGTGCACTGCTAGAGCCCCGGCAGCGTGAGACGGGAAACACCAACCCTCAGCTCGCACTAACTCCCGGCTGCACGCCGTTTCAGAAATCCCTGCAGGAGGTCATCCTCTCTCCACAGGAACTAGTAACTCTGCGTGGTGACCTGGCGCCCCGCCGGCCGTGCTGCTGGGCTGGGGCTCGGCGAGCCCGCGGGCGGCTGCTGCCACCGTGTGCCGGCAGGGAGGTGTGACCGAGCTCCGACAGGGAGCGCTGGAACGGGAAGCTTCTGTTTCTGCCCGAGCCTGAGACCTGCAAGAGAAGACAAAACACTGAGATTAGACATGGATTAACACCATCCTGACTCTTCACGCTATTTATAGTTGTGCTGTGCCGCGCCACACAGGCTCAGCCTAAGCTAAGAGCAACAGCCGCGGACGCTGGGCTGAGGACGACTCCGGCAGTCACACGGATGAAAAAAGGGGGTGGGGGGAAACAGCGTGAAACAAATGTTTCTGGTCTGATAAGTACACTTGAATCAACTGTGGCACAGAAAGTCTATGGCAGAGGAAAAAAAAACACAAACAAAAACAAAAACCTGAGTTCGTGTCACTCATGCACTGAGCTACAGCACTGGCCTTTGAAGGACCCAAGGCACCTTCATGCATTTAGCAAAGGCTCATGGGTCTGGTCATTTCTGAGAGATGGACACTGGGCAAGCTGCACATGCTGGCTGCCTAGAACCAGGCTGGTTTTCTGATCTCCACACAAAGAAGGATTTAGATATCTTCTGATTTCTGAACCTTCTCACCACCACTGTGGTTTATTCAAGTCATTATTTCTAATGTAATCTTACACTTGTTACTATAGTAAGGCATACTAAGTAAAGACTAAATGACAGATTTACATTTTTTTAATTTACATTTGTTCAAATTCATTCACAGAGCAATTTGTGGCAGAAAAATATAAAACATAAGAAGGTATCAAAATCTGAAATGTAGAAGCCTAGACAATATTAAATAACATATTTTGTTTTTCAGACAAATTTTAAGCAATGTTTTAGGTGAGAGTAAAAACAGAAAGCACAACTGGGTTTCTGGGTAATTATTAGGTGCACGAGTAAATATTTATTATATATTAAGGGGGGGTTATTTATTTATTTCTGAAATAATATTAGATGTAAGTTGCAAACTGTTGAGATGTAGCTTAGACACCATGATCTTGCATGGGTTTTCTGTAACCAAACAAATTCGAACTTGCTTTTAAAGTCAGCATTAGTCACCTGTGCTCGCCTGTTGAGTACAGCTTTGCTCATTTTAGCATGGAAGTCTGTGTCTTTTCTGTTCCAGCCATCAAAACACCATTCCCACAGGCCTTACTGCCAGGCAGAGATGAAGCATTCATTGCATGTCCTCAGATACAAATAGCGAAATTTCACAGTGTTTCCCAAGCATCTCTCTGTTATGTAGAACTATGTGAAAGTCTCCATATAGTCTTGTTAAACAAGATTAACATGGACTTTAGCTACTTAGAAATTGTAGAAATGATCGAACATGCCACTATAAACTTGTACAAATCAATGATACTCATAGTAATACTGAAGTCACTGAAAAGAAAGAAACCACCAGATTCCAGGTTCTACATTCAGAAAGTTCTGTTCTATATTCGTCCTTTAAATGTAGCATCTAAGTGCAGCAAAAAAACAGGGTGATAAGAAAAAAATCTGAGATAGAGATCACTCTTCAATGGTGGTTTGGAAAGTTAGGAGGGAAAGAAAGCAAGCAGACACTGACAAGCAGCATAGACAGGCAAGAGCATAGAAAAGCCCAGAAGAATAGAAATGTGAAGAGGACAAAATAAAATCCTGAAAGCTGAAAGGAAGAGGAGAATACCAAATGGACAGAAAGAGGGAAGAACTGATCAGATGAAGACAAGATGAAAGACAGAGGAAATTTTGGGGTTTTGTATAACTGAATTGTAACCACTACATGTTGATGCACCCTTAGAAACCAGGAGCAACAGGCAAGAATCTGTAAAATGAAGACAGATAAAACACCAGACGTGTGGCTCTGAAATTCAGAGAGTCTTGCACAATTGGCTCAGCAAAACAACAGTGGAGCTGCTTGGCTTACACCTGAGATTCTCAGCTAACTCTTTCTTCTCTCATGTAGACCTTCAATCTTACCATCTCAGCAGTAAGATGCCAGTAACTGTCATCTCACACTGCCAGTTAGCCAGTAGCAATTAAGAAAGCAGCCCATATCCATCATCATTCTGTCCCTTCACGCTGTTTGTAGTGGTGCTGTGCCATGCGTGCTGGCTCAGTGCTTCTAAGCAAACGAAGCTGACTGTGATCTCACAGCAGCTGATGAGATGCAGGGCTGAGTCTGTGAACAGGGTGATTTCAGCCATCCTCCCTTCCTTCTACCTGAACAACTGGCCCCCAGGCTGCTTCTCCAGGTCTGTTTGACAGCATAGCTGCCTCCTGTGGAACAACACTGCCAGAGACGCCAGAGGAACCCAGAGGTTGTGCTAGAGCTGTACTACAAACCCACAAGAGGTCCCAGCAGCTCTCAAGACTGTGCAGACGAACACTGGAATATCCCACACAGGTCAGTTAAACAGAGCAATCAGCATCCTTAGGTGATGGGAAGATCCTTTTTATTCATTTCTTCTTTTTTTTCACCCAGATTGATCTCTGTGCTCTGAAGCCCAGCAGGCACTGTGATCTTGAACAGCTGTTTCAGCAACAGAGACAAAAATGAGCAGCTTGCTCTTTCCGTCTGAGATGCGAGTTTCATATTTCAGCTCCTCCTTCACATTCCAGGCCTGCCCAGGCTCTCCTCCACAGATTTCAAAAATGGAGCCTTTTACAACTACTTATCCTCTGAAATACTCAGTGCCCAAAGCCAGGGTCGTTGTGGTCTTTCTGTCAGTGGTTTTGTGTACCACCATTCTCTGCCTGCTACAACTCAGAATTTTTAAACCTAAAATCAAAGATTTTTATTCTTTTGAAGTCAAAGATTCACGAGGAAGGAACATTTCCTTGGAGAAGTACAGAGGGAAAGTAAGTTTTTGTTTCATTTTATCTGTCTTGAATCGTTACTGACAAAAAAAAGTGTACATTTTTAGGTAAATAAAGTGTTATGGGAATTTTTAGCAGAGATTTTTGTAATAAATTCCTATTCTTTAAACAGTAAGCTGGATAAACAGGTTTTTTTCTAGATCTGCTCCAGGAATTAAGCAGTAGATCTAATAAACCAAGAAAAACAAATTCATATTATTTAGTATAGATCATTATAGCCTAACAGGAAAATTTGTGGATTTTAATCTTAGTTAAGAATGGTAGCATGTTGTGTTGAATTTTGGAAGTTGATCTAGTAAATATGATTTTAGTGCAAGTCCTAAATACCTGCTTTTTTTAATGTTTATATTTAAACAAAGCTGCAAGCTGAAGTTTGTCTATTTATTGAATTTTTTGTAACAGATTCTCTGAATGTAATATCTTCAGCTGCTTTCATCATTATCTGTTTAATAAAATGATGATCAGACAGATTAAATTTAGCTTTCTGACAGAAACCATCATAGTAATGAGAAATGCAATTTTAAAATTTAATTATAATCTCTACACTATCTATAGGATTTTTTCTTACTATTCTAACTTTATTTCTCTGAAGGCAACTTTAGTTGTAAACGTGGCCAGTTACTGCCAAAACACACACAAAAATTACATCGCACTGCAAGAGCTACACAGAGAGTTTGGTCCCTCCCACTTCACTGTGCTGGCATTTCCCTGCAACCAGTTCGGAGAATCAGAGCCTAGTTCAAGCCCGGAAATAGAATCTTTTGCAAAAGGAAACTATGGAGTAACCTTCCCCGTTTTCCACAAAATCAAGATCCTAGGATCGGAAGCAGATCCTGCCTTTAAATTTCTAATAGGTAACTGTTTTCTTTTATATATCAAGCTGCCTGTAACCATGGTATTCTCACTGAATTCCAATCTGAGCTTGTTTGTCAGGAAACACTGAACTCTTCAAACTTCTCTGCTCATGGAGAGAAACAGGCACCAAGCATACAATTCATCTCATTTCAATCTGAATATAAAAAATATGGGCAGAAGGGTTGTATCCTGAAAGAATCAGTTTCTCCTCACTGATCATAAAAACAGCCTCCTGTAACCAGCCCAGCTAGAAACATCCATTTTGTGGATGCATGAACTTGAGTGAAAAGATTCCCATCTACAAGATCCCATTTCAAGTTACGTGATTTTTATTGAAAAGCAGCTTTTCTTGTGGACAAAAATATAATTATGGATGGTTCTAAAATCACTGAAAGATTTTAAATAAACATATGCAGATTCATTTTTTTAGCAGAGGCCTGTGTCCACCTTTATGTAAACTGTATTGTGAAGCAGGGTTATATATACTGTAGTTATATATAATCACTGATTTGTGTTAATTTGGGCCCAGCATGCAAAACCCACTCATACAAATACCCCCATTACAGAGAGCACTTGCTGACTTAGGGCCTCATATTCTCACAAGCAAAATGAAACTTTCTTCAGTTGACCAAAGAGCTCATAGACCCAAAGCCAGCTTGAAAAGCCTTTCTGAATTATCCTGAGCTTTGGCCAGGTCTTTGACCCATGCTTAAACACTGATATATTAAAGAAAGGATACTTAGAACATAACCATTCTCCAACACACCATTTTAACTAGAAAAAATGTAAGAGGAAGCCCAAACCTGTTCTATCTCCTTGACCCAAGACAGGATCACAGTTACCCAAATCAATACTACTTGTGTTTATCCAGACTATTTCAGTAGTCATATGAGAGATTCCAAAACCTCACAGCCTATTTCAGTTTTTCACAGCTCCTCTTGTCAGAAAACTACTTAAATATCTAAATTAAATCTTTCTTACAGCACTTAAGTATTTTCTTCTTGCCATATTCTCTGTGATACCTCTTATGTACTTGAAAATTATTATTATTTAGGAGTCATTTATGTTTCACCACTGTCATCGTAACTGTGTTTCTTCCTACCTCCTCTTAAGCAAGATACCAAAAACTCAGTAAACCTTGTTGACCTCAACTCTTGTTGACCTGAGTTGCCTGAGGTCCAGTGGAATTATTGAGTGCTCTCTCAGTTTTTTATAGAGGAGACTAGAGCATGCAGGTTACAGCTGCATGGAATGAAACCAGATTCTAAATATCAGTGCAATCAGTGTTAGACATCAATATCTATAAAGAAAAAAATGTTTACTCAGCATTATTTTATTTGACGTGCTGTTCACCCACAGGAAGGAGAAAGATCTTCTGACACTTCAGTATTTTTAAATAAAGCCTTTCTTTTCCTTCATTCCCTGCATCTTCAATAAGAGAAGCACCTGCTTTCTTCAGGTAGCTGTCTTGACAATCAGAAGGTTGAATATCTTCATGCTACACCACCTTCTTGTGCCTCTTACTGCTAGCTACAGTTTGCCCAGCACTGTCAGATAGTCTAGCACAAAAAGAGTCCACTGGCAGCATAAATGTGGATGTGGAGCATCATTCACTTCCCACTTTTCCAGTCATTAACAGCAACCAGTAAATCATGCCCAGACTACTAGCAAAGAACAAGGTGTGATTACTTCTGCATAAGAAGCTGAAGAATCAGTTCAGGGCATTGAAACAATTACAAGTGTAACTCACTAAAACAGTTTGATGCCATCCTTACAGATTCTTCAAAGAAAGAGCCTCGATGGAATTTCTGGAAGTACCTTGTTAGTCCTGAGGGTAAAGTTGTGAAATTCTGGAGACCCGAAGAGCCAGTACAAAGTATCAAGCCAGAAGTAGCAGCATTAATCAGGCAGATTATCATGAAAAAAAGAGAGGACCTCTGAAAAAGCCATTTATACTGTGAATCTATTCAATAGCATGGATACACAGCCTTTATACATTCCCAGGAAATGTTGCTAGAAGCTAAACCATCAGGTGATTTTACTACTCTTTAGTGCTGGTATTTGCAACCAATATGGTTGGTAATATGTCTATTAATGCTGGATTTGCCCCTGCAATAGCCTTGAGAAGGACTGAGTTTACTGAGATGGCAAGGCACTAAGTACCTTGCAGGATGGACCTTCAATCTACATAAGGTTTCTGAATGTTGCTTTTTTTTTTTAATTGCTGATAATTGCTAATTCAATTGTCACCAGCAGAGAGATAGCTGGAAAGAAGATTATTAATAAATTGCTCAGTATTTGCACAAGTTTCTTTCCCATCTACCAGTAACAAACAGATTTTGATATTCCATTAGCACATACTTGCCCTGTCTGAAGCATACGGAGCCCAGAGGCATCCATGGCAGGGTCTTTAGAGGCAAATGTAACTGAAGAGACTAGCTTTGCAGCATTCTCTCGATGAAGACTATGGAATTGTGAAGCTGTCAGTTGTAAAAAAACTGTACATAGAGAATGATAAATGTAAAAGAAAAAAATTGCAGAAATGTTTTCTTGCCTGCTTTATGTTTTGATTCACTTTACATTTCACCTTTAGAGCAACACCCTTTAACTCCTTAGCCGTCTTTATACATTTGCACCAAGGTACTTTGCCTTGACTGTGAGCTCCTCTCCTATTGGATTCCTGGTTTTCTGACCTGGGTGAAGGCAGGGCCTGTGTGAATATACATGGTTGCTTACAGAAGGATTCAAGGTGCAATGAAAATCAGGAGTCTGGGACTCTCACAGATGTTTTTCTGAGGCTGTCCAAGACAATACTCTCCAGCCATCTGCCTACCTACCTCCCATCTTTTGAATAAAAAAACAGTCTTCTTGCAGAGGTAGAAGAAAGAGGAGAAGGTTCACAGTTCAAGCTCCACTCCTCTCACCTTGCAATCTCCCCAGTCGTACATGTAACTGCAAACCCATTGCCAGTTCTGCTCCACTGTTCTATTACAAACTGCCAAGTGTTTTGACTTATCTGTTTGAAAAAGGGAGATAGTAAATTTGAATAAGAAATGTCACTCCAGATGTCCAAGTCCTAATGGAGGGGTGAGAGAATAGAAATGAGAGAAACCTATGTCTTGGAAGAGTTTTCTACATGAGAAGGATGGATAGCATTAGTGCAGTCATCTTGTAAAACTAACTGAAAATAACTAAAGTGCTTCAAAACTTTTTCTAATAAAGATAACCGCTTAACTGTATTAAAAAGGTGAGAAATTGAAAAGCAATTTAAAAAAAAAAGATATTGAATTAATTAACAATTTCACACACACACACAAAAAAAAACCAAACCAACAAACTCTGAAGAATAAGGACATTAAAATGTTTTAAAAGATTGAGTAATGATACTGATGTGAAAGATTCAACAAAGTCACCATCAATAGTGACAAAGATAATTTTGGAACAGAACTCAAACCTTGGCAATTTTGGCCACTCTAACTTCCAGAGATCAGCTAAGGATTATACAAAAGGTTTCATTAGTTGAAATCAGCCTGCTGCTGTTGTTTTAGACCAGCCTCTGAGCTATTTGCCATTATCCCACAAGATTCCACATCAAATATGTCAAGACAGTTCCTGTTCTTAGGCTGGGGTTCTGTATTTTACTCCAGTCTCCTCCAGCATGTGCTGTTCCAGCCTTGAGAACATTTAGTGGAACATGTCAGGTGATTTTTGTCTCATGTCTCTGCTGCTTTGATGGAGCAGAAAGGGAATTCAGATAAGGACTGTCTCCCCTCACTGGGAGCAATCTACATTCCATGGAACTAAGTGGAAGAACAAAATGCTTTTCCTATGAAGGATTGAATATCTTAACTTGAAAATGCTCACATCTAAAATATGTGTCCACTCTTGTGTACTCCTATAGCTCCCAGTTTTTTGTATGACTGAATAAAAAAGGGTATAGGTATAAAGAAATGTTGGGCACTGTAACACCTAAAAAAAGGTCTGGTTTAGTCCTGGTATTGCCTTAGAGTTATTCAGCACATGGGAAATTTCATTTGGGTTCCTAAAATACCCTACAAAGGATAAACAGAGCAGTATCATTTTCTTGTTTGGAAAGGATCAGGAGGGAAGGGAATGTGCACACCTTGCTTGTGACTCACTCACTAAAGGACACAGCGTAATCTTAAATATCCCAATGCCAGCATTAAGATCAAATGTCTTTCCTGGTATTCAGAAATAGCATGTGATATTAGCCAATGACTGGACAGAATTATTTAACTCACTCCTACCTGAATTAAGTTTACTCAGGAGTCCTAGAAAAAGAGTGTTTTGTCTGACAACACGGTCATGAAATTTCTCATTTCACTATTTGGTCACAATCCACTACAACTATCTTCTGTAGAAATTTGAATATAGGTACCATTCTGTCCTGAATCTACACAATTTAAGTTCTTCAAAATTTACTGTTAATTAGCATTCATCCAAAAACTCAATGTATTTGTATTACTTATACGTCATGAGACATGCCAGCTCTTCCAATACAACATTTAGGGCAGATCATTGATAAACTAATAATTTCTTTCTTCTGGGGTAAAAATAAAGCATCTTTAATGGACAAATCTACATAGACTTGGAAAGGCAAATAAATAAAATGAAAATTAGAACACTGTTATACAAGCTCATACTTACCTATAGTCAAGAGCCAAGAAAGTAATATGAATACCTGTTCATATAAATATCCACTTACTGTTAGTTTAAAATAGAGCATATAAAAAACATAAACTCCAAAACTGTGGACAGATTGAAACTTATTTCTTGGATTCGTTAATAATCCTACCAATTTAAGATAAAACCACCCTCCTAAGACAGTTAACAGAGTTCAGTCCATGAGTGTTAAAGTTATGTCATTGTCATTTCTTCATAACCTAACCTATTGCATCCTTCATCCTAACCCTTCATTCCTATCTCATCCTTCCTTCACTCCTTAGGCCTGACATATCTTTATTTTCTCAAACAGATACCACTTAACTGTGAGCTTCTCGAGATTATCTGGGAGTGCAAATATTCTAAATCACCACTAGGTGATATTCAGTCACCACCAGGACATGTTCCTGTTCCTTCAAGTACTGTCACAAAATACTTGTTTGCTGAGCCAACACATCAATGCTCCTTTAAACATTGAGTGGTGTAAGAGAAACATATTCATATGGGATTCAAACCTGAAATCTTACTTAATAGTTTCATAATTGAGTAGATTCTTTAGAAGCCAGTTAGGTTACCTGCATAAATGTGTGAAATACAGTTACATTTATTTTTATACCCTCAGTCACACTTAATTTTACACCCTATCTTCACTCAGTCTGCATAACATAGCACAGCTCCTTTCAGTCAGGGGAAATAGGCAGGCATTGGATCCCATACCAGCTAAGGATCTCATGAGATATTTATAACAGTGTTTGTATTCTTGTCTCAACAATGATGTGCTAATGTGGCAGTGTAGTCAGTTGCTGGTGTGTGAAGAACAGCTAACTAACAATACACTGCCTAATCACCACACACAACAGTAGAATCACCCTGATTCTACAGACTTTCACAAACACTGATGTTATTTGTCTTCTTAGGAGACCTTCACTTTTTAAGCCACATATAGCAGCACCCAGATAAAACAAGTACTAACAAATAATTTCTTCTGCACTCTGTAGGTGACTGAAGTGCCAAGATGAGGACAAAGTTAACACTGTTGGCTTTGGCAGTATGCTTGATAGAAGCTTGCTGTGTAACATTAATCAAAAAGATCAATGTGTTTCCAGCCTTTATTCTTCTAAGTATAATATTGTGTCCAATTAAAACTGTGTCTTCTGGTTGGAGTTGTGCAGTTGTTTTAATGCAATGATGTTCACAAATTTATTCTGAGAAGCAATGAAGAAGAAAAACCCTAAAGATGACTTCGCTTTATATATACAATGGAAAGGTAATTATTTTTCAAATATAGAATTCACACAATTAGTGAAAATTACTTTAAGCCTTTTCCACTTACTGTTTTACAAAAAAAAACAAACAAAAAAAAAAAAAAAAACAAACACAAACTCTTTCCCCCCCCTGAAAACTACCCACTTGCATTTGTCAAATATCATTATCAAAAACATTAAAATCAAAGTTTAAAACTCTGTAAAGTTTTTAACTGTGCTGCTTTTGCTTTAAGAAAACTCCCAGAGCTCAAAATTATTCAAAATACTGTTTCAAGTATTTTTAAACTTCCTGTTACCTTGGTATCTGAAAGCTGTTGAAAGCCAGAGTCTAAATCAACCAAAAATTCTCACAGTTCTTTGAATAATGGCAGATAATGGAAATACAAGATACGACTATAATACCAGAAATGAGGTTGACAGTCAACAAAAACAAAAACAAAAAACCAAACAAACAAAAACACAAACAAACAAACAAAACAAGACAGTAATTAGGAGGATCCAGAAAAATTCTTGTACAAAACTCTCCCTTTTGATGACCAAGGTATGTGGTAAAAGAGAGCAACTGCATGTTAGCTGATGTCAGAATTTCAACCAGCTAACATACACTGCCATCCCATCACACACAGATGCGCAGCCTGCATTCCTGGGAACAGAATCCTAGCACCTTCCAAAGGAGTTGCCTCTAAACAGCGGTGCGCCAGCCCTGCAGCAGGTGGCAGTGCAGCAGTGACTGCTACATCCAGGTACAGCAGCCAACTAGCAAAGCACTGCCTACCAGACACAGAGTCCTTGCAGAGTGAGATGTCTTCTGATATAATATGCCTGGAAACGTCTTTTATTTTCTACCAAATCCAGCATTATTTATCTGTTTTAAGTTTCATGTTTCCTACGTGTATATATAAAAGTTCAAACAGAATGTACTGTCATGAAATAAATGTCACAGATAAGTTTCTGATTCAGCAAGACCTGAATTAGTGTAACAGTATAAAACCTACGTGGAGTGTGACTAGAATCAGACCCCAGACTGTACAGAAGGAACTGAATAGTGTTGCAAACAGTTTCTTGTCTTAAACCACCATTTGAACAACTTGAACAAGTACCAGCATAGTATGTTACCTCCACAAGTTAATTAGTATCATACTTACCTCTGTCCTTTTCTCAGCGGGGCATTTGTTTACGGTCAGTGTTGCAACCCTGCCGTTAGTCTAGATGAGCTCAGAATCTGGTTCAGTATAGTCAATTTTAGGTTATTTTGAAATTAGAATTATTGGTTACTCCACAGTGCAACTTAACCATAGGTTATGAGCCACAGCACACCTCCATTTACAGCCACGTAAGGGAGGATGCATAAAGATCCCAGGATTGAAGCTTATGGATTCAGGCTGGATGGAGGTAAGATTTTACCTCCCACATCCCTTTTGATCGAAAGTTCTTTAAAGTCACACTGGCAAGGAGCTACTGAGTTAGACACTTTGTATAGAAGTCAGTGAATACTATATTTTAAGCCTTCACTTTGTTTCTTCAAAACTGGTCTGAAATAACTCAAAATAACTCTTAATACAAAACAAAACATAAAGCATTTACTTGCCTGAGTGCTGCTGTTAGCAGCCACAGGGAAGCATTAGGTAACTGATTTCTGCTTGTTCCATATCAAGATGCCACTTCTGAGTTTTCCATGATGTTTTTGAATGAAACAATATGGAGTGCAGCTAGCAGCTGTTGACATATCAGAGACAACAGCCAGCTAACATGCACTGCCAGACTGTTACATTCTCTTGAGTTTTGGCCACCAGTTCCCCTTCACCACCATCCTTAAAGCTTTGTCTCCTGTAGCTCAGTCATTGCTCGCTTTAATAACATGACTTTCCTCATGGGGTCACTTGCATGAAATATTTATGCTGAAGCAATATTGTCATGCTAGCGGCTACATTTCCATACTGTCATTATATCTAAGGACACACTGCTTATCTCCTGCTTCTGTGTTTTTCGGTATGGTGAATTCCATTTAGACCTTCACTTCCTACTCCATCACTTCGCATGTTGCAGTCTTACAAAGTTTTGTGATCTATGACAACTCTTTAAGGGACAAGCTACCTGTATTTTACCTCTTCCTTACTGTTAAGCATTTTGTTTGTGATTAATACTTTTCCCAACTAAGTTCACACTGTACAAGTTCTTTGTTGTCCCGTTTATCTTTTACCACCCTCTAAATGTGGACAAGTCAGCTTACAGTGCCAATGAAAGGATAGCTCTGTAAATCTATGCAATCC